AAGACAGCAGCGTTTCCGATGAGTTCTCTTAGTCTCCCTCTTTTCTCTCTCTCTCTCTCTCACATTCACATGCTCCTCAATCACATCCTTCCCCACCAGCGGACCCGCATTTCCTCTCTTCCCTTTCTCACTACTTTCTTTTTCTAGGCTTATTAACCAAGGAGAGGCCTTTTTGCGCAGGGGTTAATGGGTCGGCTTATTTATCTAGGAGAAAGTTCGAAAGACCGGCGTTGAAAGTGACTTTGTCCAAGCCAGGGCTTGTCTGGGAGACGACGACCCAGGAGATTCCCTGTGGCATACTGCATGGCCTGTCGCGTCCTACGGCCTCCGCTAAAACCAGAGATCATACATCATATCTACGGAACTTGGGTTAGATTTTAGTAGCTTAGATTTTATGAAAAAACAGTACTCAAAACTTCACATTTCTTGCCTGATCAGCTAACTACGTGAGCATGTAGGATAACGCTAAATATGAGTGTAATTTCCTTCAACATATAGGCATAGGGTTTTATGGTGGAGCTTTGTTTTGGAAGAGGAAGAATTCATTGTGAGAGGGTGTGCTAAATAACACCCTGATGACCACTTTTACCTCCTTTAATCGAGACGTTATCCTCCAATTCTGGCCACCTTCAAATTGGATACACTTTATCCTCCACCTTAATTGCTAGTGACTCTGGAACTTATTTGGCTGAGGACTTTTTGACAATCTTAACCGTTGATCTAGCTGAATCGTCTCTATCCCAATATTGAAGAAGTCTTCTAGGCAACGAGACAAATCAAGTCAACGCGGTTCAGCAAATGACTGACTTGGTCTCGATTTTAGGTCAATTTTGGTTAGGTGGGCAGTTTTAGGGAACAAAACTATTCCACAAGGGATAACTAGAAATGAGTTGGACTAAAATTCAATGAGACATTTCCTTTAAAAAAAGCACGAGAAAATAAAGTATCTTCCCTCTTGTTAAAAAAGGTTGCACTTAAAATAATTTAAAGTAAGGTAAAGTATTCCCTTGCAACCTTTCAGCTGAACAAAATATGGAAATGTCCCTTTGCTGTTCCTGAAAATTCAATAAATATGCATCGAAAGGGTTGAATGCCGGAGGTTGGCTCGGGGATAGTGTTCTTAAAGTACCACCCCCAGTGGAGTTGCTCTCCTGTCATTGATGCTTTTAAGACGGCACATGAAGTTTGGGGGGGGGACGGGGGGGGGGGGGTCGAGAGCTGTGATGAGATGAGATGAGATGAGATGAGATGAGATTTCTAAAATTGAACATTCAGTTAACTTTCACGTTAAGTTATTACTGATATATGTATTCTGAATATTGAACATGTAGAACACTTGGTTAAAAAAAACTAAATTCTTTTTTAAAATATATTTGTGCTTGAAAATAATACAATAATCAAAATTTAAGAAATTCACTATTTTTTTAAGGCTGCAGTTTCTAATTATGTGATTGAGAAAATTTTAGATCTAGTTCCATTAATGGCCGTTGGGGCGACGATATTAGTTGCGGCTCCAAAAGTTTTATGGCACCTTTGATTGCACCGGCGTACGAGATGCTGTAAATCATCTGGGGCCCGCAAATTCTTGTTGTGGTTTAAATTCAGCTAAATTTTAACGACAAGGCGAGATCACATATACCGGCATCCTATTGGCATCATTAAATGCATTTTTGTATATCAACTGATTTTTAATGTATGATTTAATTTATGTCAAATAGTGCTCGATGACTTTACACAAATTAAGGATTTTTTTAATTGATGAAATCCACGGAGTGAAACGTTCGTTGAAACCCCAGCCTCGGGTTCTTCAACTTTTTAGGATTTTGCAATATTAAAAACTATTTTGGTCAAACGAGAATTTAATCATGCTACCCCAGTTCAGTTTCGTAATAATGGATATCAAATCTACCCCTTCGTCATCGATTCGAGTTATGTGCATGCTATTTTCCACTTCCATTTTATCAAAAGAGTCGGACTTTTCTTCTTCGATCAGACCCTTCATTTTCATTTTCTCAGATCTCTCATGAGGTCAATCCAAAAACCTGATGGATTCATTCCCTCCAACCTAGCCCTGCTCAATCAGTGATCCTTGTGGTTTATCGGCTTCCCCTTGACCTTTCCTCTCAAACTTTGCTGCAGATCCCTTTTATCTGGATAATCGTCTCGAGCCACGTCCAGAGGAAATGGCTGTGTGTTCACCCTCAGCTGCACAGATATCCATCCCTACTTGCCCTATCTTCTTGCTCGGTGCCCAAGAAGCCGACGAGGTCCCGCCGAGAAGACGAGACACCGAGCGTTTGTCCAAGTGTTCCCGACGCCCTCCCGCCGGCGAGAAGACCATGCATGAGGCCTGCCCGCGCAAGAAGACGATGGGGTCGCACTCCGATGTCTCATTCTCGCCGCACGTGCGCTGCAAGTTCTTTGTTCTACCTCTCCATCGACAGGGAGGAAGACGATGGTCTCGAGGGGATCAAGATAAGACACGACATCTCCGCGTGGAATTTGGAGGAAGGAAGGCATTAACTTCGGTTAACTAACGGAAATCTGAACCTCTGCCCACCCGGATGCCGACGGGAGAAGTCCAAGTGCGGGCTTGACCTACCGCACTGCCCCCCCAGGTCCCCTCCTGCAACTTGCTGAGATCTTACAGAAGACAGCTCCTACTCGGTCGCTGGGGGCAGGCCACATGCGGCGCTTCATGTTGATGTGATCGGTTTGCAGGATTACGAGTTAAGCGGGTAGAGAGAGATAGGGGAGAGGGAGAGAGAGAGAGAACCAGATATGCACCACCTACTGCAGTAAGAATGTTCTTCCACAGTCTTACCAGTAGTAGCATCCTTAGGGAATCTCCTGTGGGAGAAGAAGGTGGTGGCTAGAGAAACGTCGGGGGGGGGGGAGTCCCCGGGAGGGCAATCAAGCTTCAGGGCGGCCGCCTTTTCCTCGTCCATCCGAAAGCCCGCAGCATTCATGGCGGCGACGGCGATAACCAGTGGTTTGGGGGCGGCCAAGAAACGGAGCCCCTACCAGACTCCCTCCACCTCCCTCCGCCGCAACCTACCTACACGGCCGCGCACAGGCGCACGCACGGCGGCGTCCCCTGGCCGGGGACGAACCGCCACCGTTCGTCGTCAAGGTGGCGGTCCCACCGCCGCGAGTGGAAGAAGAGAGGGCACTTCGTCGTGGTGCGTCCTCGGGGAATTAAAATAATTAATGGGAAATGTATACCGATTACTTAATTCATCCAAAAATTCTAGTATAAATATTTAAAATGTGACGGCCTGATACCCAAACGGGCACCGGAAATTACTGTTCTTGATAAAATCTGTATATATCTATTTATGAAAAATATAGTACTCTGAAATTCACCGTTTTTTATAGTACCATCTGCTGTGACAGCCATCCCTCCAATCTCATGGACCACTGGAATTTTTACGAAATTCTATGCATTAAAAAAGTACAAAATTGTGCCCACAAATATTTTATTCGCGAATGCATGTGGTTTTAACGTAAATGCTGACGTGGCGAGACATCTCGTACGCTTAGGTGGGATTTCTGGTGACTCGGAAGACGTCCCGCTGGCACATCTGATCTCTCTGTCTCCCTGTCTCTCTGTCTCGCTCTCCCTCTCTCTCTCCTCGCCGGTGCAGCTCTTCACTTTTCGGGTGGAAGGAGAGAGGAAGGGTTTAGAGAGAGAGAGAGAGAGAGAGAGAGAGAGAGCCTAACGAGATAACGGGAGAGGGGCAGGGATGGCGACCGACGGGGGAGCACCAGATGTCATCTTCTGCCAGTTCATCAGAAAACGCCGCTGTGCAGCAGCTGAGCTGTCAATTTAGCATTTACTAAAAAAGGGACACCACAGGCAAAACGAAATGTCTCAGGGTACGTAATCCTAATTATCTGTATCAAGGTGGGCTGATTCGAGAAAGACGAACCTCCCTCGCCGACGAGTTACGAGGCCGTCGACACTCCGGGCGGCGCCTCCCCCCGCCATGTGCCGGCGCAATGATTCGGCGAACTGCGTGCCAGCGGGGAAGACCTCTTCGCTTCGGGGCCAGCCGAGGGCTTGCCGCCGCCGGCGCCGGCGCAGGACAGCGCGGTCGCAGCTCCGCCGCTCTCCCGTGGCAGGCCCGGCTCCGCAGAACGGGGGGACCTCAAAACGCGGAGTGGGGGGGAGGGTCCCCGAGAACCAGTCCACGAAAAGGCGGGGCCTTTCACGGCCGACGAAGCGGAGTAAAAAAGGACGGAGATTTTGGGGGCCGAGGAGAAGGCCGACGATGCGGCGGCGGCGCCGCCCCCACCTTCAGTGCCCGGGGGAGAAGAGAGAGAGAAATAGAGGGTCAACGTCGGACGAGACGCCTTCACCAGCAAACCCCACGGCCCCCCCTCTCCGGCAAGCCGTCCCCTAATGGATGGAACCCCGCTTGGAGGGGCCCTCTCAATCACGAGCCACTCTCACTCTCTCTCTCTCTCTCTCTCTCTCTCTCTCTCTCTCTCTCTCAAGGTGGCGCGAGCGCCACCATAGAATGTGGAAGGGAGGACCCCTTTCAATTTTCTTTAAAAACTTTCGGGCATCGGCCGACATATCTTGTCTCAGGAGAGCGACGGACTGACGCCGGTCCCCGCATCTTTCCCTCTCTCTCTCTCTCTCTCTCTACTGGCTCCGTGTTCCTCGTGCAGTAAAAATATGTTCTCGGAAGAGAGAGAAAGAGACGGCGGCACGGGAGATCTAGATTCAACGCATGAGATTAGAACAGGCACTGATCTTCCGATTCTTTTAGGCCTCCCCCCTGCTCATTACCCCCCCACCTCTCCAGGGGATCTGGAACAGCAGGAAGAGCTTGCCATTCTCACATCTCTATCTTTCCCTTTCCCCCCATAATTCGCGCTCGTTTGTTTCCCATTCGAGGCGGACGGCGGTGGGCACCTCCGCCACCGCCGCCACCGCTCGCCCCCCGGCTGCGGCGGCGCTTCTCCTCCCACCTGGGAGGGACTGCTTCCTCTCAGAGCCCCAGCAGGACGTAGTAGATCAGATCGATCGGGAGGGCTATCAGCATTCCGAAAATGACCCTGAAACAAGACAAGGAAGAAGACGTCAGTGCAGCGGAGTGGAAGTAGGAGGGAGATGGTAGGTGGACTGACGCCGTGCTAAGAATCTGCGGGTGGACGTTGTACTCCTTGGCGAAGACGAAGGGGACGATCCCCTGGGGGAGGGCCGCCTGCCCATAGCCATACAGTTAGTATCTTTTCGTATAAAAAACTAGATCTGGAAGTAGGTGTAAGAAAGAATTGCCGGCAATTACAGTAGAGAGAGAAACAGAGGGAGAGGTAGAATGAGGTGATGGACAGGTAGAGAAGAGAATGGGAATCAGATCTCACCTGGACAATGGAGATACGGAGGAGGTCGCCCCGGATGCCGAGGGCGATGGAGGCGGCGGCCATGACAGCTGGCCCCGTTAGAAACCTGACGGCCATGGCAAAGGCTGCCACCGAGTTTCCACATGCTATGATCCTCGGCTGCAAGGCCATGAACAGCCCTGTCTCGTCACCATTGCGGACGCAGTCGAAGTTGTCGCCGCCATCAGCGAGCACACCGAAAACACCATTTCAGACCCGCCAAGGGGCGGGGGGAAGTAGCCCCGTCAGTACTTTTAATACAGCAAGGCGGGAAGCGGGGAAGAAGAAGATAAGGTCAACTAGGGCTCATTAAAGAGAGAATTAACTCACCCAGGCTGAACATGGCCATTCCGAGCCCCGCGTCCGACAGTATGGAGATGGACTTGGCGACGATGGCCGGCATCTCCACATGCCACCTGCATAACACGCAGGTTGAAGACGGAGTTTTACAGGGGAGACAGCAGGAATTAGACCGGTGATATGGAACTGGCAGCCTAACCTGAAGGAGACGAGGGACCAGATGAGCCCGATGAGGCTGGAATAGGTATTGGGGTTCCTTATGAGCTTCCTCCACACCATGATCAGTATCAGTCTCGTCATGACGCTCGTCGGCGGCATCGCCACCTTCCCATCCACCCCGCCGCCGTCGGCGCCCCCGGCTTTCCCTCCGCCAATCGCCGCCTTCCCCACGTCGCTACCACTTCCGCGCGCCTCGTGCGCCTCGCGTTCGTTGCCGAAGCTGAAGTCGTCCCTCTCCAAGAAGTCCTCCCTCCGGCCGCCGTCCACTGCGCCTAACCCCGTCGTCAGTAGTCCAGCAATTATGGCGGAGGAAAGGAGAGTTTAGAGTAGTTAGTACCCTTTCCCGGCGACACGACCATCCTCACATCCTTGACAGGAGCGGCGGCGGCGTCTGGGGGCACGGTGCTGTACTCCTGCGCGCCGCCGAATACGTCGGAAACTGGCGAGGCGCTGGAGCTCCACACGAACATGTGCAGGTCCTTGCCTCCTTCGTCCCCTTTCGCCACGACCTGCGGCTGCCCGTTGGCCTTCCTCGCTCCGCCGGCATTGGGCATGGACACGGTCTTCGCCGGCGCTGTCGGTGGAGGGGAGAGCACCCCCGGATTGGGAGCTGGGTAGCTGTGCATTGCCGCTGAAACAGGCGGCGCCGCCGCCGTGTGGTAGTGAAACCTGGATTTCGCGCCGCCGGCTCCTCCGGCGGCGATGTTGTCCTCCTCGTAATAGTTCGACGGGCGGGGGGTTGGACCCCGGGAGGTGGCTACCATGCCGAAGGCATCGGTGGCGCCGAAGTTGGAGCTCCGCCCAGCCATGGAGTAGAAGTCGGTGTGGTTGAAGCTGGAACCCCTCGGTGTGGGGTTGCGGGACGACTGCAGCGAGTAGATTTCCGCGTTGGTGAGGTTGGAAGGGCGCGGCGTGGTCGCGGAGAAGCCGACAGAGCGGCGGGAGAAGACGTCGGAGCGGGAGGCGTTGGAGCGGCGGACGGTGATGTGGACCTTGCCGTCCTCCTTGACCTCGGCGTCGGCCTCGATGGCGCCCTCGCGGTGGCCGTCGAGGGAGACGACGTCGGAGTCGACGGCGATGGAGACAATGGAGCCGGCGACGTCGGGGAACTGCTCCGTGATGAGGAGGCGGGCGGCGCGGTACTCGTACATGAAGAGCATGAGGGTGTACCAGATGATGCACTGGAGGACGACGATCTGCACCATGAGGCTGCCGGAGTAGTCGCCGTACATGCCCTTGAGGAGGGGGATGCCCATGACGAGGGTATTGGGCAAGGTCGAGAGGGAGAAGAGAGTGATGGTCCACTCGAGGCTGCCCCGGCTACTCAGCCTGGACCAGACGGCGAGCATCGCCAGCATAATCAGCTTCTGTAGGGTGTCGGCGGCGATGAAGCGGAGGTTCATCGTGTAGGGATCGTTGGTGGAGATGAAGTGGAAGGACAGCAGCGGCACCGCGAATATGGCCACGAACCGGTTGATCCCGGAGCACTGGTCCGGCGTGAAGATCTTCCACCATCTCACGCTGCCGTAGGCCAGGATCATCGCCACGTACAGCGGCACCATCGCCGTCATCACATGATAGAAATCCGTTCCGGTAATCATTTTCCCTTCTTCTTCTTCTTCTTCCTCTTTTCTTCTTCTTCTTCTTCCTCTTTTCTTCTTCTTCTTCTTCTACTCGCTGGTGCTGGTTATCTGTGTTACAGAATCAGCACCGGCAAGAGGCCGGCGAGGGGGATATCGGGTAGGGGGAGGAGCACGAGGGATCGGGAAGGGATTCAGCCATTGAGGGCATCGAGGAGCATGTGTTGGGGTTTTGTTCTGCTAGAGGGGAAGGAGGGCAGGGACCGGCAGGCCGGCGTTGGGGGGGTCGAGAGCTGCTCCTGGGCGGCACCTCGCGGTCTCCAAAGCATATGGACCCCCTCCTTCCACCTCCCCCCGCCTGTCGGCACTATTTTATTCCCTCTTTCCCGTCCCCCTCTCCCACTCCGCCACGCCGCCCCTTGGATTTTCCTCTGTTTTTATTTCCCTCGCCGGGAGGAAGAGTCCCTCTCCTCTCTCTCCTCCCACTGACCGCGGGCAGCGAGAGAGAGAGAGAGAGATAGATCGAGATATATAGAGAGAGAGGGAGAGAGAGAGAGAGGGAGGGAGAGAGGGAGAGAGAGGGACGTGTGCTGCGAGGGGGGAAGGCAGGAGGAGAGGGTGGGGATGGGAGTGAGGATGGCGGAGTGACGAGGAAAGAAGACGAGGGGCTCATGGAGACTCTTAAAGGGTCTCCCTTTCGCCTTTCCTTTTTAAAAATGCTTGGGACCATCTCTCTCTCTCTCTATCATCTCCCCTCAGGCGTCGCACCAGGCCAGCAGCAAAGGAGCGAGGGAGGGAGGGAGGGAACGACGGGGCCACGACAAGGGGGGAGGTGTGGGGCGGAAGATGGAGAGAGGGGGAGACCGCTGGAATGATTAAAGTTAAACGACCTGATCGGTCATGGCGGCCGGGAAAAGGCGCAGAAGAAGGAAGAAGAAGATGCGCCAGTGGTCTCCACTCTCTCCGGCATTTTTACAAACAGGTAATGAGCGTTCACTTCCCAATAGAGAAGCCAGTCAAATCGCGCATTTAGAGAGAGAGAGGAGGCTGGGAAGATCATGGGCGTCCCCCTGCGCGTGCGCGACCCCTCAGGCCATCAATGGTGTTGGGAGAAAATGACCTTGTACGGAGCAGACGCTCCCCCGCCGCGGCCCACGCCGGCGTTAAAAACGCCGCCCGGCCTCGGGGCCAGCCTGTGCGAACCATCATCACCGGCACCTGGTGATTCCTAGGCTCTATCTCTTTCTCTCTCTCTGTCGGAGCAAGGAACAGAAGAGGGGCTTCACAGAGGACGGCCGGGCCTCAGAAAGTCTGCCGGCCTGTGTATGATTCTTCCTCGTCTGGGAAACTTCTCTGTCTCTCTGCTGTGGCTTCTGTTCTATATTCCCTCACTTTTACCTTATAAAACTGAGATAAAGAAAGAGAATTTCCCGGCCGGACTCCAGGGTTGACGGCCTCTGAAACAGGGGATCGTAATCTCTGGTTTCGACCGGGAATCCCCCCCTTGCTGGGTCTCCCTCCCTCGTCAATCTCTCTCCTCCACCCCCACCATGGTGGTGGGCTCCAACCGAAGCCCATCACTCCCCCTCTCCTGCCCCACCTTAACTCTCTCTCTCTTGCTGTGTTTGCGAGCGTGTGTCTGGTTCGAGGAGAACCTCTGTTGCTGTCGTCTTCGGCGGCCCCTTTCCTCGCCGGAATGGATATAATATACACTGTGCCCCGGCCAATGGGTTCCAGGTTGGAAGAGGGTCGACCCAGAAAGGCCCGCACACGTTCAGACGGCGCTGGCAAAGCTTCCCACGTCGGGTGAGTGGACGCGGCGGCGTCACCGGCGGGCCAGCCCAGAACATGAACTCTTCGCCTTCCTCCGACAGCGGCGGGCCTCCGCCCACCAGACCTCCCGACACGGTTCCTTCTCGTTAGCCACTGCCGGTGGCGCTCGCTTTTTCCCTTTAGCTTTATTCTACCCGCCTGCAACCTTTCGCCGCCCGCTTCCGTCTGCCCCTCGCCGGCGACGAGGAGGAAGACGACGCCGCATCTGGGGCGGATTCATGAGACCTACCCACATAGGGTTCACTTCTGGGGGAATTTCCGCCTGCTCGGCATCGCCCTCTGCGGCGGGGGCGGCGGGAAGGAAACGGATAGCTTGATACCTGTAAGAGCTGCTACCGCAGTGGATTCTTTGAGTACAGTGGAGAAGACGCCACGCAGGGATCCCCCGCCGGCCGTCTGAGGCAGGGAACGTTAAATTTGGGCTTTTTACTGTTGCCCGACTCACCGGATGCTTCCCCCAGGGCTTGATAAAATATTTTGATTAATTTCCTCCTTACTTTTCAATTATGCTACGTAAGATTGAAGTACACGAGTGGGCCTTTAAAAAAACTTACATTTGCCCCAGCCCAGATCAAACGCTTCTCTCTCTCTCTCTCTCTCTATCCGTTAGTCCTTAAAACCTGTGATAACTAGTTTACTGAACCAACCCAACTCACAGCCCATTCTACTTTTGAAACATATTAGCTGCGAACTCAATAAACTTTAGCTGAACATATATGATGGAGGGAAGTAGTATGGCGCCATGAGTGCGGGAAGGCCGGGCTGATACCACGTCCGGAGGATTCTGGGAACAGGAGGGAGAAGGCCGCCGGAGGAAAAGGCTGTGGAAGACGAAGATGGGTCCTCCACAGGGACGTCGGAGGGAAGTAGTGTAGCTGCTGTTGTGCTAAAGATGGTGCGTGCTGATACGATGGAGATACAGTGCCGAGGAACTGAATTCGATTTGCAGGATTCCTAGCCATGGCAGGGAAACCCCGAGTATAAACCCGTCCAAAATGGCGTACTAAAGCGTCAGTTCTTACACTAGGCACTCGCGAAGGCATCAATTTCGTGGTTGAAGATCAGCTCGCCGCCTTCTTTCTCACGTTCCACTGGTTTGATATACTCGTCTATGATCGACTGATTAGGACTAATCACGCAGATGATCTGGTTGTACCCTTTCTTGCGGAAGGAAGATTCTTATACTCGTTCACTGAATAAGAGCATTTCGCTCAAGCTGTCGCGAGCCCGGTTAGAAGAACGCATGGACGGTAGGAGCAGAAAATGATGAGAAGAATAGCCCCGGCGTGTGAGTCATGACCGTTGTGTCTGGTAGCACGGTGACATTCTGTAATAATAATAATAATAATAATAATAATAATAATAATAATAACAATAATAATAATAATAATAACAATAATAATAATAATAATAATAATGATAATAATAATAATAATAATCTAGAAATCTGATTTCCCGCAATCTATTGATGAAAAGGAGTTTCTCATATGATAAGTTGTAATGATCTGAAGCCTTGTACGAGTGAAATTTACTTAAAAAACATGGGTAAGTAGATGAGGACAATGAGGCCTGGTGTTATTTTATGATCTTACTATCATGATCCTCGTAAAATCTACCAAACAAAAACCTATCAAAGTTTTCCATTTATGACAAAATTTCCCTCAGTTCCATTTTTTTTCTTCCGCATGTGACAACAAGAGTAACGTCTCAAAGACCCATAGAAATGGCTTACAATAATCCTGGGCTGTTATAATGTTAAATCACAATCAAATCAAGATGATATGATTTAAGAGATCGAAGAATATGACTTAAGAAATTCCATTTTTGGAGTCCTGAATATTTGACCTATAACAAAGGTGCTGGTATGTTCTAGCTACTTAGACCAAAATTGGGAACTTATTGGTCTTTTTACCAAGTACTTGGAATCTTTTCGGAGATAAAATCTTTATCTAACAATTTCAACGAGGATAGTTATCTTATAGGGTCAACTGACCAGCATTTCTTTATACTTGGAGAAAGCCAACCATCAGAGTTGACCAATCATGCCCAATTCAACATCATATAAGTAGTTCCAAGGTCATAAACTAATGGCTGTTCTAGTGGGACTAAATTTGTTAAGTATGGAGAACACGCTACTATCATGCTTCAGATGTTATGACCGTGGCAATGAATCAGATTGTAAAGATGCCGATGCCAGTTTCTTATTCCCACATTGAAGCTTGGGCTTGGGCTTGGGCTTGAGTGAAGAGAGAGAAGTAAGTGGGCGGGAATGAGCTGGGCTTGCTAAAAAGTGCTTAATATCTATCTGCTTTTAGTTACACACAAGGCCCCAGGAGAGCTGCACGCTCAGCTCGGTCCAGCAAGTTACTAACCGGAATTGACTTGCCTGCTTGGTTGCCCGAAGTAGGAAGAGGGATCAGAGAGAGAGAGAGAGAGAGAGAGAGAGAGAGGCTTAGCCCATTTGCAAAGTTTTCGGGGGCCCATTAAAACCGGTCTATCGAAGAATAAAAGGTAAAAATGATTAAAGGATTATATATTTCATGTATTTTAAACGGGAAAAATCTACCATAGAGAACAATCTAATGACACAACATAAAATAATATGATCCGGATAAACCAAAACTGGACCTGTCTCCCAAAAAAGTCCTCTAAGGGGTCAATTTTCCATTTATGCTTATAAACTCCAAACAAAACCAAACACTTGGATTCTCATAAAAATTACTAAAGAGGGGAGTTCTGGAACTCTTACATAGTTCTTAGATGATGACCAATTGTTCAACTTAGATGTTAGGATGGTATACCATTCAACTTATATAACATTTAGCCACCTAAATCCTTTGCCCCTAACCATACAATCAGGACCCATGACATAAACGAAAATATTATCAATGACTTAAATGCATGAAATCCATGTTCATCATTCACAGGCTTAGGGTTTTTCACGTTCATCATTCACATGCTAAGGGTTTTGCATGTTCATCATACATTTGCCAAAATTTTGAGGGTCTTGAATTTCAAAAAAGATTTAGATTTTCTAGTAAATTTTCTGCTTTTAGAGTGCTCATGGAGCCCTATTTTTTTTATTTCTTCTCATGATGAACCCTAAAGTTGTAGTTGGTCCACACCTTGTATTGGGGACATTGCAATAGACAAAAAACCAATATTTTGAAATATTTTTTTACCTCAATGCTCCTTTAATCGAATTTAATGGCGCCAAACCGTCGAAATGTTTCTTTTCTCTTGCACGATATATTTTTAATTTTTTAAATTAAGTACCTAATATGAGAATATCGGGGCAATGGTCTGATGTCCACAAAGGGCAGGATATTTGGCTTTCTTCGGTTATTTAGCAAATAAAATAATATACAGGTTACATTTTAGGAAACTCCCTCCTGGCGGGAGTCGCGAGGCGACGGTGGTCGTCCAATGGGAAGTCTCCTCCTCTCGGGTCCCCCGACAACTGTGTGGACGAACGGGTCCGAGCGTGTGGGCTCTCTGGTCGCAAGGAGACGAGAGCCGTCGGCGTCCACGCCGCGGCGGGGGGAAGGCTTGCTGGCTCTGGGGAATATCCGGGCACCGGCCGGCCTGATCCCCCCCGGCATCGGGGTAGATTCCTTCTCCGCGAAGTTTTATTCCCCCCTTCCCCCGCCCCTCGGTGCAGAGTATAATTTGGCCGAGCTATGTCGGTCTGATCAACGCACAGTTGGGTGGGCTCTGGAACTAGGTCCTGCCACCATCCGGGGGTCGTTAGAAGGTCTGTCTAATCTCTCTCTCTCTCTCTTTGTGTCTGTATGTGTCCTTTGCCTTTCTCTTTTTTTTTCTGCAGTTGAAGATTGTTCTTAGATAGACGGGACAATATGTGATACGGAGAAATTATCCGCTGTGTGCCTGCTGTAAGATTAGTGAAAATATGTGTTTTCACCGGCAACTTCGACAGATTGCTGTTCAAAGAGTACTTCTGTTATTCCTTTCTAGAAGGATCAGAGCCTGATCAATGTCTGTATTTACAGCTTTTATGAAATTGTGTGTTGCACTAGCAGCAGGAAAGCCGGCATAGCTTGCTTTGCCGTCTTCACGCTGATTTATGGATTCTGGTTCGCTTCCACGGTGTCCGTGTTTCGTCAATGATGCTGTACAAGAAGTGCCAATATTGTTGCTCTATTGACTAATATTTAACGCATTAGAGCATGTTCGAGAGAATTTTTTTCTTTTCCTGGGAAATTAGGTTTCCAAATAACCAGGGTGACGCCACTCTGGAGATTCTATCGAAACACATTTGTAAACGACAGTAACACGGTGCGGCTAATATGTCACGTTTAATGTCCAATATTAAAGGGGAACAATGCGGTACTCTCGGAGTAAAAGGTGTTGACCCTTGAAAATAGGGGTGACATATGTCCATACGAGCAGATGTAAGAATGTAAATGTTTGAGAAGAAAAGGCACACTTATTTCAACTGATGACATATTATTTTCTAAACTAATCCTGAGAAAGATGTAGCTCTTGAAGCATTGCTCACAGACCATGTTTTGGCGGTAAATATGCTTCAAAGAGATGTCTAATTTCAGAGGATGAGAGCATAGATAGTTATGAATGGGTTTGCGGACATTTATGTCACCAAGCTTGTTCATTTTCCATCTTCCAGTGTTCCTAAATCCAAATCTGTTTTTCTTCTGTCCTGCATGACTGTAGAAGCTAGTCGTTCGTCTATATTTATACCATTCTATGTTTTGAGGTTTAATGATGCTTATTCGTTTTGGTACTAGATAATGTGATCATTAAATCATAATCTTATGACACTTGGAGTTATCATAGCAGATTCTTCTATACGCGGCTAATTTTATATGGTATAAAGAGATCACTTACGATGTGACTATTATGCTGGAACTTTCAGAAATATTTATATATATGGGTGTTGATACTTCACCAAACCCGAATGAGGTCCTGGATGGTGTACATGGAATGCGCTTGCTGCCACATTCTCCATTCAAAGCAGAGAGTATTCATCAGCATGCAGGCTATAATTCTTCAAGCAATGGAACATGCCAAAGCCTTGTTATTCAGTGAGTGCTGATTCCGGAGAAATTTGCATTCTCAGTGCCATTCTTTTGTAGAAACAGCTTCAATCCGTTTCCAGATATTATGACACGAGTTTTATTTTACATTTTAATTTATGCATAGATAACTGGTTTTTCCCCTGCCAGACGCATATGGGAGCAGAGACCACCTTGCCTGAAGCCTATCTGCTGCAACCATCAAGGTATACTTGGTGTGGTCGTTTTCTGTGCTCTTACTGGATTTATAACGTGTAGGAATGACTGCAGCTGCATGAGATAACCCAACTTTTTCTTCCTGCAGGGGATCGGAATCGGACAGAGACAATTGTCAATGTCATAACATCGTTACCATTCATTGCCCTTGGCCTCCAAACTCCACGGCATGCTCACCAATCCTTTCTAAATAATTTTTCATTCTTGAGCCTGTGCCATAACTTGCATGTCATTTGACTGTTTATGCAGGAAGAATTTAAATTGTCAATTGTATGCTAATTCATTGATTGGAGTTGGGATTGCTTCATCTTTATACCATGCATCGAGGGGTGAACTCAAAAGGTTCCTAAGGTGGGCAGATTATGCAATGATATCAGCAGCATCAATTGTAAGTTGGAGAAATTTTTGGACAGATACGAAGAAATTGTTGCAAATTTTATATCAGCGAAAACCTGCCTCTTGCTTTAAAATGCAGTTAGATTTTCGTATGCTGTTATTGGCCCAGATATAAATACCTGTATTATGTTACATGTGTTGTAAATGGCTCCTGTTGTGACAAAATATGCATTCAACATCGCCATGGATGAAATTTAAAGCCTTTATAACACCAAGAAGTTGTTGCTTGGGGAAAACATACAGCGAGAGTCCCGATGACTTTCTCTGTTGCCTCGTAACCAGACGGAATATTATGCAGGCTCAAATGATGGACAGGGTGTTCTGAAATAATCGATGTAGGGCAATTGGAGTCAATGAGGCTTGTTTACTTATAGAAGGGTGCGGGGTGATTTCCATAGAAAGGTGATGTCTGGGTTGAGGAGGAGGAAATATTTATGTTGTCCTTGCCATTGAATTATCTTTAACAGGGAGGCGCCGGTGCAATATTTTGTAAGCTTTTAGATCTTATAGTTATTGGTTGAAGCACGGTAGTGGTGCCATCTTCTTGTAATCAGGATGTATAAGTTCTTTGTGATGTTTCATCTCCCCTTCCCTTACACCACAAATTTCTCTTTTTGGGGTTGCTACTTCATGTCTTGGAAACCTAATGTTTAATATTCATAATTTAGAAGATTAGATCATCTCTGTACTGATCGTCAGTCTATTCCATCTTTTTGTCTGTTGAAGAAAATCTTTTGACTAAATTTTATTTTCACGCAACCTTCAATTAAATGACAGACTGCATAGGTTGTGCTAGAACTTAACCATTGAATAATATCGTGCCTTGACCTTATCATGGCTATATTATGCTCCAACAGTGACCTGGATAGACTGCACGTTTAGAATATGAAAATATACTAAAACGAAAAATATCTATTAATGTGTATGTTATAGCTATTCTCGGGAATGCCATGCCTCAGTGTGTAGGAAAATCCAGCCTTATAATTTTCTAAAGTGGCTATTATCGGTTTGATCTCATTATGTTAACAGTTTTAAAAGGAGTGAATGATATTTCCTTATTTTTGCCCATCCATTCTTGCCTTCTTGATTCGTACATAGCTTGACGTCCTTATTGTTGTATGCTCGTTCTTCCATAGCCTAGAGAAAGACTAGTCAATGGAAATCAATCTCGATGTGCCTAGAGAAAGACTTCAGAGTTGCCTATATAATGATATTCTAATGTGGTGACAACATCGTGCAGTGTTTATCAAGAGCACTTAATAATGAAAATCCTAGATCGCTAATGATGGCGTCAGCATTGTGTCTGCCTATCCAGCCCTTCGTGGTTTCAGCTGTCCATACCGGACTGATGGAGGTAGCACTCATCCATTCTTACGTAACGGGTTTACCTTTTTTGCATTCAAAGTGAAGTTTCCTATTGAAAGTGAAATATCTAGTTTTTGGTTCATATTAAACTGATATATCACTGTATATGAGTTCTGATCATTATTTAAACAAGTCGATAACTAAAATTGAACTCTATTAGGGGTAGTTTGAAAATAAATGAGGCTATCAGATAATAGCCTGTGTATTTTGCAAGTCTCCTCTCTGATAATCATTGGTACAACTTACTAAGAATGCTGACTACTACTTTTGGTTTCTTAGTTATTTTCATTCTTGTTTGGGTTGTCATTTAAATTTGACGTATGAAATTGTCCCATGGTTCTGAAATTATTAGTCCTTTTACGAATGCCATTAATATTTGTACATTTTTTAATATTAATGTACAAATATTAATATACAAATATTAATCCTTGTTGCTTTTTCTGTCATCGAACTTGAACTGCCAGTACAGGTACGCAGCAGAAGTCTTCTTGTTACCTGTCTTTATGATGGGTATTATCCTGACCATTTTACCAAAGTATAAGTTGGCCATCAGAAAATGATCAATCTTCGAGGTTTTAGTCAAACCAAGATAGACAAACTGATGATCGTGGATATATAAGCTCGTACCTGAGTGTGCTCTGGCTAATAAATCCTCAATCTAGCTTCAGTCTGATGGACAAATAATATGTATTCAAAACTCGATCACTTTCAGGACGAAAGGCAAAGCATTTACTTTCAGGACGATATTCAACAAAGCAGGTTTTGTACGCAGTATCATGAAGCCCATCAAAACTTGCATTTACTTACCACTATAGGGACTTCTGGTGTTAATTTTCAGGATGAAATTTCATGAAAAGTTGTCTTGTAAATCGAATCCATTTTAATGCAAAAGATGTGATCGTCAGTGAGCCCATTTTCCCCAGAATCCATTTCCAAAATGGTTACGTTTTTAGGATTCTTAATGTGAAAGCATTCTTAAAAACCGTGATTTTTCAGCTGTTATAGATTAATATGAAGTATGCATCTTTTTTGCTCGATCACTAACCATGAGAGGTTTTTATGATTCTGGGAAAAATGCCCTAGTCCTGGTCAGCCTAGATTGCAAAGGTAATCGTCAGCCCAACACACTTATCATGGTTAGGAAATATATACCAAGAAAAGTAGAGCATAATAAAAAAGTAGAGGAAAAATTTGACACCCCAGAAGTCAGCTACAAGTTAGAAACGGCTAACTAAAATGAATGGGGGAAGAAAGGTTAAACTTCTAGTCTACACCGTTTCAAAACAGAGAATATTCATCTTCTTCCCCCTTTCTCGTTTTTGGGGTGAATTGAGATTAATATCTGGCTTTGCTGATTGACGGAGTAATACTTGGTTTCTACTGTGTCAACCGGATTTACATCATTCGTATTTGGTAGAACACACAAATACGACATAAATCCCCTAGGATGAAACATGCTTGATTTTGCTGCAATCTTGGAATTGTGTGATCATGTCGCTCAATCTCGCTGCTTACGAAGCTCATAAACTTTCAAGTGTTACTAGCTTTCATTCTTGTTCATTGACCAGGTAACATTCGCTAGAAGGGCATTGGAGAAACCGGAACTGCGGACAGCGCACAGCTTACATGCTGTGTCGTCTTTACTGGCGGGTGCTCTCTTCATCGCTGATGATTGCTTTCCTCAAACTCCTTACATCCACGCTGCTTGGCATCTTGCCGCAGCAGTGGGCACTGCTACATGCAATAAACTTCTTGAATGACGATGCTGTAACATCTTCACTGCGGCAATCTGTAACAGCTATGTTAACATATCATTGTTCCGAGAAAACATAGGTACTGATTTAGTTTTTCCTTTCTGGGCTGCAACAGTTTCTTGCCGTTCACCAAAGAAAAGGCCTAGATCTTGGAGAAGAGATGAATCCAAGAAACAGAGAAATGCCGTGGGGTCTCTCTTGATAGTTGTCAGATATTTTGCTGGAAATCTTGAGCTAGACTGATGATCCAGTGCCAAGGCTTCCCAGACGACTGTCGTAGTGTTTCACAGTGCCAAGGGTTGTGCAGCTGAAGTAAATTGTAAAGAACACGACATTAGGGATGTACTACCCATTGACCTAGTGAACGGGTGCGAACTATCACCAAGACACAGTGTTTGATGCCGTCTTGGCATAGAACCCTTTCTGATGTTTGGAAGTGTATCATGTTTCATAGTCTTCATGGGTTAAGATTTAAGGTTAACAAAATGCTCATTCTTCCTCTCTCAGGTGTAGGGGGCCTATTTTGTTCATGAATTTGAAATAGAGATGCTGATCTACAAATTTCATGCTTATCTTTGCAAAAAAGTACTTATCTACTCTGACAGGATATGGCTAACATCTAAATTTGATTGTCCTTTGCCTAGGGATGATGAAAGGATTCATAAATCTGATGGGCTTTGATACCAAAGCAAATTTTTTGAGTTTGACAGAAATATTTTGATCACGAGTAAAGATGATAAATGGTATTCCAGGTTCTTCTGCATTTCACCAAATAAATTCTGCATATGACTTCAGTGCATGTCAATTTTTGGGGTACATTAGATGTTACATAAGTCTAGAAAGAACTACCAATAAGCACTAGAACCCTTATGTACATTGTTGAATTAGGAAAATCTCTTTGGTCATTTGGTTGACCATCTAACAACAATTGAGTTGGCTTTGCTGGGTGAGTATCATTTTCTGATTCCTAAATGCGTATCTACAAGTATATTTATAATTATTTGGACAGTAAGATCTGTAGCCCTCTTTTGTGTATGCATGGAACAGTACTTTTGTTGTTCCTATTGAAAGCTACTCAAGACCATAGCTTGGATTGATTTGTATGTCCCAATGAATTTTGCGTAGTCTCTCTCAACAAGTTCCTTTCATATTTAATAAGGTTCATCTCTATCTTGTCCAATGAGGAAAAAAATTATAGAGGTACTAGATGATGTGCAAACTGGAGATTGTTGTCAAAACCTCCAACCAGCTCTCTTTCTAAAATTTGTGAGTAGTGATTGAGTGTTATGGAATCCTTCACGACTATGAAGATAAGTTTAAATTATAAGTGCTGGTAACGTTTTGATGTAATTCTCCCTATCACACTAGAAATTTACAATGGGTGAATTATGTTAATTTTCATAAAAACTTATCACATTTTTATTATTTAAGATTAAATTGCATTAGCACACTTACTCTTGAGCAAATTGACTCTTATGATTTATCATGAAGAAAACAAAGGAGAAGTGTGCTGGTAATAGTCAGTGCATTTAGAATTAGAGTTAGGTCAACCAACAGGGCATATATTGTAACATAGATTTAATATTAAACTTATCACATGTACGTTTTTCTGTAAATTTATTTTACAGAAATAAGTTTTTAACAAGATCAACATTGAGCTATTTTAATATTAAAACCCGTGTAAATTAATTTTAATGTATTATCACGTCGAAGCATTAAATGAGGTGGGCAACTATTATTACTCATTCATGTTGGTCTTGTTTGAATGTGAAACTAAACAACTAATTGACGACAAGTAAATGGGAGTAAGATCTTACGCATGATATGTTTACCTTTGTTAGTCAATAAAGAACTATTCAAACAACTAGAAATAGTTTGTTAAGTACGAGGGCATAGAAAAAAATAATTAAAAAATGGATTGAATTTTTTCATTACAAAATATGTTCTGTGCGCGCTACGTTTATTGGGAATGGTTGAAAGCTTGCGCCCAAGGGATGGCGCCTACCCGAGCAGACTCATTACGTTGGGTGGCATCCCAGAGAACGTCCTCCCCCTCCAACAGTCACCAACACCTTTCCGACTCCCCATCTGTCTGAGGAGTCCAATGGAGAAGGTCGTCTTCAACTGGAGAGGAGATGCTATCCCTTTCTTCCCTTTCCTCCTGTCGTCGCTGTCCGTCATCGTCTTCCAGCAGAAACCTCGTCTCCGCCATGGTATCCTGCTCTCTGTGGGGTTTCTCACCTTCAGAAGAAAAGCACTGTTCTCGGGAGAAATTCACGGCACGTGACCATATCCGACAGGGAGATGGAGCCCTCGGACAAGAACAACCGATAACCTCCGTGTAGTGAGCTGGGCGAGGCGGTGACCTAGCTCGTCCCAGTGGGTACTATTTTTGGGGCAAGTCGCTGGCTTTAGACTTGATCACAGCCAGGTCAACGGTGTTTCTTCTATTGATCTTCCCTCGGGCTCCCGCCTTCTCGCACAACCATGAGTTACAGTAGTTCTTGATGCCGTTCGCCGTTCTGCTTGGAATTCTACCCGCTATTAGGGACCACCTGGAACTGATCACAGTTCCTTTGTTGAAAGGGAAATCGTTCTTGAGGAAGGTCTTCTCTAATTGCTAAGCTGTTCCCTATGAGCCTGTGGAGGCTGATGGTGTTGAGGTGGACTTTGTCCTCATGCTGCAGCTCTTACGATAGCATCTCAAAACTGAAGAGATGTCAGAAGGGAGACGACAAACTTATCCATAACAACGGAAACAAAATCATCTTCTCATCTACAACTGGGTTAAACCACAAATCAGGGTCTACTTTTACAAGAGTATAAAGGCCATTTGTTAGCTTCATGTGTAGGAAGGAAGAGCTACACGAGTTAAACCACAAAAGTTTATGTGCAATTCTCTTATATATTTGTTAATTTACTTCAAATCACTTAATTTAATTCTTAATTTTTTCTTGCACCACAGTTAATTAGAATAATTAATTCAATTATCTCAATTTGGTTACCTAATCTAATTCTATTCTTAATGGTGCACACAGCATAAGTAAACTATGTTTTAATTATAAGACATTTTTTTAAAGCAGACCGATGATTTTTATTTACACTGAATTAAAAAGTTTAATCTCAAGGATTACAACCTTTCAAATTAGAATCATTATCCAGTGATAGTCAGGATTAAGTATATTACACACCCTCCCCCTCTCAGAGATTATGTAAGCCATCCATGGGCCCATTCACTTGATTCAAAGAGAGAAGAAGATATTTTCTTAGCTAGTATGAACACTATAAGGCATATTGGGTTGATAAGAAAAGAGCTTTGTTTACAAGAATCTACTCACATTGTATTTAATGGGAAAGTTAGTTCTGAAAATTATTATTGACGATGAGATGGGAGAGTTAAACAAAGTGTTGTTTATGCTTTTTTGAATGATCATGAATATGAAAAAATAATTCTGCATTACCAAAGAATTAGAAGATCATTATGAATTATCCAAATAATTTCTTTTGGTATAAATAATTTCATTTTTTGTTTACAAGCTGGGGTGAACTGGTTCTTTAACGTATTCTACCCTTTTCTTTGTTCTTTGTTTTAAAGTTATTTTAGAGTTACCACAAGCTCTAAGTTGGGTTGACAAAACTAACTTGGGTTAGATATATTAGCTTGGGTCAACATAGACTAACCTGACTTGATTGGGTCGACACAATAAGTTGATAGATTAAGTAGAAGAAAGAATCATACATGTGTAGCCTTTTAGAAGTTAATTTTATCAATAGTGTGTGGGACTGTATATACAATCAGACCTATTTTGATTGACCAATACTAATACAGTATGCTTAAATTTTTTAACCTCGTGTTATAATGTAACTTGATGTCTGATTTCAGGAGAAGGTTGCTCGTTTATCACTAAATATTCTTATATCTCTCATAAATTTAGCCATCTATGTTGCATAGTTTGAATGAAATACTTCCTAATCTGGGTTTTTGGAGCCTCATATATTAGAATAATGATCATAGATTTGATGATGGCTAAAACAATGTGGACATTAAGGCATATATCATGGATACATTTGCACACTTCAAGGATATTGATGGATATGTAAATATCATTAAGAGTGATTCTGATGGATACAAACATGAGATATTGGACCCTGTTGGGCTATAACATAAGAGAAACAGATCCACACATGGACCCTAAGACAATAACGTTTTGTTAGCCCATCTTTAATACAAGTTACTTTGGAAGAAGGAAAATATACATTTGACTCAATCCGAGTAGAAGCACTCGTCGATCCTCATACCCCTGAGAAACACATAGAACCGCTTTATCATCCCAACACTGATACATGGTGAGGAGGGTGCTGCTCGGATTCTCATCTAACTTCAAAGTGCGTTGTTTGGGAGGAGTGTGTTGCCACCCCGGTATGAACGTGACCGGGTTGCTTTGGGAAGTTGCAGAGGCAACTCTTCACAGCTGATTCTGGATACATCTCTGTGAAGGGAAGACCTTGAGGCAGAGTGGTGTTATATGCTCTGCGGAAGGCCTCACTCGAAACATTCCTCTGCAGCACAGTTCCCTATATGTTCTGCAACCCTAAACAAACGTGTAGAACTGGAAAGGGATGAAGATTGGTAGGCGATGAGTCTCTCTTCTTGATCTGCTGCAGGAAATGGCACCCTGTGGAGATCTAGTCACAGGAGATGGAAACTGAGGCCGATGAACAGAAGTCAGAGGTTCGGATCCACTCGTCAAGCGAACCGGAGTGAGTTAAATGGTTCATGGAGCATACCGGATCAGGGGATTGACTGCAAGCGGGGTAACCGTTGGTTAGGCGGGAAAGTAGTTACGTTACAGATACAGTAAAGCCAAGATAAATAGAGTCCCGCAAGTAAACAGAGATAGATATGTCTGTTTGCTATGAAGATTTAGATTAAAAAAGAGGCAGGCGAACGGGCAGACGCACCTATACGTTACCCCGCGCCGTTGTGAGAGAACCGAACCATTTAC